TTTTTTTTTTGATTGATTTCGATTAACTTTGATTGCACTTTAGGGCCTTATTTTTCCGTTTCTGGTGCCATGCTTGCAGATATTGCAATTATTGACTTGCCTACCCCAGTTTTTCTTCTTATTTGGCAAAAACATGATGAAATGATGCTATTAATTTCTAGAACATTTCATGCTTTGAAAAAATATCTCCAAATTCTTTATCAAAACTATAATCAAGTTGGAAACCTAGTTCAAAACATACACCACCCTAAGATTTATCATTCTCATCATTTCTCAATATTATTATTAACGATGAATGTTATTATATTGAAATTGATTTCAAAGTTGGTGATTACCTTCTTTGGGTAGTAACACTCTATAACGAACAAGGGCCACCTAAAAAAGCTTGTGTAAAGATTATTCAAAAGAATAAATATTCACTTAATACATATCAGCTATTAGCTGAAGCTGGATATTCTCCAAAAGTTCTTGCTAGTTTAATTATTCCAAGAAATTGGCTTATAGTTTATATGGAGTACTTGGAAGATTATTTGACATTGAATTGCTTCGCCTTTAATAATGAATGAAATTATTTAAGAGAGAAAATCAAAAAAATTGTTAGATATTTGTATAGTGCAGAACATGTATATAAAGACTTGTGTGAAGGAAACATCCTAGTTTGTCAACTTAAGAATAATGATTTTGATGTAAAATTGATCAATTTTGAATGGTCTGGAGAGGTTGGTTCTACACATTATTCTCACTTTATGAACAATGCTGATATTGAATAGCCAGATGGTACTGAAAATGGGAAACTAGTCACAAAAAACCATGACACTGATTTGTTGAATAAGATACTTCGAGCAACAAATTTATTGCAAGATCAAAATAAATATTGAAATTTATTTAAGAGTAAATCGATTAAGTTTAGCATAGATGAATATAACTAATATTTGTTAATCTATTAATAAAAAAAATACATTTTTGTATTATTGCTATATTGGAATTTGATTTGACAATTATCAATAAAGCTGGCCCTGGTGGTTGATTTGCATACATAATCAGTTAAATCTTGTGTATATATTTCATAAATTTATTTTATTATATTATTATCAATGTACATTACTTGCATATCGAAAATTTTTCTTGGCAATTTTCTGAGACAGCCCCGGAAATTATTAATTTAATAAAGTTATAGGTAGAGTCAATTTACATGATCATGTTAAAATGGCGAAGTCACCGGACCTCCTCTTTATTTTATAAAAATTGTTGCCCAAATAAACAAAAATATACAAATAAAAAAATATAAATAAAAAATACAAATACAAACTTTTGAACATATCTATATCTTATATAAAATAATAGAAAACTCCAAATCTAAACTAGTTTTATTGAAGCAGAAGAATGCCAAACTTATAGCTAGAATCACAGAATTGGAACAGATCGCGAAAGAAAAAAATGAGCTTGAGGTTAGAATTGTGGAATTAAAATGATCTGCAAGAGAAAATATTGAGCTTAGATTCAGGGTTGTAAAATTAGAACAAAAGCTATTACAAAATAACTCACAGAGTAAGAATGCTAGGGAGACTGAACAAATAGATATATTTATTTTAAAAAAACAATCTTCAGCTAATATCAGTAGTACAGCCAATGCCTCTCATAAAATAAATTTCGATGATACACCTAAACAGATTGAAATTAATTCTGATAATATATTTGATAACACTTCAAATCCTGATATATGTCATAAATCTTCATCTCAATATTCTGCATCACCTAATCGCAAAGAGAGTAAATCATTGGAAGATAAGGCAGTCGATAAATTTCTGGGTTCGACATATAAAAAAAAAGGTTAGTAAAGAGATAATTCAGAGAATTAGAAAGAAGAAACTTCAGAAACAAGAATTATCCTCTATATCGGTTAAAGAATTATGTAGTGAAAAAGTGAGACTGAAAGTCCCACTTTAGCAAAACAGCAAATCGGTACCGATACAGCCTGAAGAAACAAAAGTTTCACATGATTATATAGTCGCCCACCCAAGTCATAACCAGGCACAAAGTATTATTTCTTCTGAAATAAATATTATGACCAAACATCAACTCTGCAACCCTAGGTCTTACCTTTATGTGACTGAAACTAAAAATGATTCAATTCAGAAAGATAGCCAAATTGATATGCAAAAATTTATACAAGAATTATATTTAGAACCTATAATAGAAGAATCAATTAAAGTCATTAAAAATAAAGAGCTAAATATATCAGATCACAATAAAAATGATGAAAATGACAAACATATTGTTATCGAATTGGCTCATTTATATCAAAAAGCAAGGAAAGCTAAAAAGAATACTATCTATGCTAAGCAAGAAGAAATTTTAAGCTGGTATTATTATGCAGAAGATTTTGAAAGAAGGGTTAATGGTAATTTATCTATTTGCCAAAATAATAAAAGAGCAGATGACTTGGCAAGAATTCAAGCTTATAATGAAATTTAAGATTTTCTTTTTGGTATCTTACGTGAGAATTTCTGCAAGCAAACTCAAAGAGCTTGTAAGATTTATAAATTTTTAACAGTATAGGAAAGGATAAGATTAAATGAGTTAAATCTTATAGTGCGAATAGAATATCAAAACTCTCTAACTTGCAAATTAATATATTATAGAACATTTTACCAAAGAATCCCAAAATAGTAAGGATACTTTCATTTCTAACAAGGTGAAATATGTATCATGCAATCTTGGGTCTCACCTTTTTGTGACTAAATCGTCTGACTCAAATAATTTAGCAGAAAGTGAGATAAGTGCATCACCTATATCTCTATCTAATCCAACTCGTAATCATGCTTATTTCCATAATAAAACATTAGATCAGTATCCTAATTTATATTGAGAAGATAGTAATATAAATGATGATTATTATAGAATTACTGATGAATCTTTATGCTCGCTATACAAGTTAGATCATAATGATGATAATGGTATAGAAGGCAGATATGAAGTTGAATCCTACGATATTAAATATAAATAGCATGAAATTGAAATTAAGGTAACAGCATGAACTTTAAACTTATACTAGCACAATTTGCTTAAGTCTTCTGAGGCATATTTATTTTTTTGTTAATTTAGAAAGATGTGCAATTATATACATAAAACAGGAACATAGATACACAGACAAAAGCTAATAAAACATTGACTCCTGAATATTTGGAATGGGAAGCTAAATTAATAGAATTGCCAGGTATTTTGATAGATAAAATTCATTTTAAATTATATAAAAGGTATAAGAATAAAACTGGATTCGATCTCTGGATAAACTCTGAAACTTTTGAGTTCCCACAAATCAAAAAGGATGCCAAAAAAAAGACATTATTTGTATTACAGATAAATGTTCTACTTATACTATCCAAACTTCAACTATCAATTTCTATTCTATCTAAAGATCTCGAAGAAAGGCAACAACATGTTATTGAAATGGTATTAGAAAAATTTCTTATTTAACTTTGAAACATAGTTTTAAATATAGTAATTATTTTAATTTTAATAGATCTGTACTTTGTCCTTTATGTAATAAAAACTATAAAAAGAAAAATATAAGAAATCATATAGAGGGTATTTGGAGTAGTGGTAAATATATTAATACAAAAACTTATCATCTCTATTATTATATGAATAAATATCAGAATTCAATCTCATAAAAGCATAGATTAATAATCGCAAATTGTATTACAAGAATCATGTAAAAATAAAACATGGGAAGGCAACAAGACCCCTTCTTTATTTAATAAAATTTTTTTTGCCGAAACAGCATACAAATAAAAAAATATTTATTAACTTCAATTTAGAATATTTAGTGTGTCCCTATGACTTAGATGACTATAGTCATCATTATCTATACAATATTGTGCATATTCTTTTGAAACATAATAAAAAAGATCACTTTCAAGAAAATCGTCATCTTTAGGATCATAGTCTGGATTATCTAAATTAATAAATTGAGATTCTTTAGCTTATTGTTTTAGCTTCTTAGCTTTAGCAGAATTTTATTGCAAAAGCAACAAGACTATATCTCTACTTACTACGTTTGTTTCTCTTATTATTATGTTGTCAATTAGAACTATATGTTCTTTGGTTAGTTCTAGGGGCATTATAATTGTTATTCTGGGGGTATTAGGATTGTTAATCGTGGAGATGGTGGTGTTATTACTTATGGTAGTAGTGCTATCATTAGTCTTGGGGGTGATGGTATTGTTGGTCTTGGGAGCATTACTATCATTAGTCTTGGGGGTATTGTTGGTCTTGGAGGTAGTACTATCGCTCATTTTTTGTATCTGAATACGAGAAAAATCATGGTAAGTAAAAATTCATCTTTATAGATTCTGTTAAATGAAATAGCAAAGTTACTTTAAAAATAAATTATGGGCAGATAAATCAAGTAAAAATATATATAAGCAAAAATAACGTTATTGCTAACTTATCTTAAGGTGGAAACTTGCTTATTTTATACTGTTCATTTGCTAGATCTAAAAAACAGACTAACAGAAAAAAATATATAATTAGTAATTATGTTACCCTAACACAATCTAGATCCTGCAACATAAAGCAACTCTGCTTGGTCATAAGCTTCAAACACTAAGCCTATTTTGTTATTTTTTCTGGTAAAATTAACACCTCTTAGATTTAATGATTGCTTAAGGTGGGTTTAGATCTGATGATCTCAGAGATAGCAAAGTTCCTGCAATATATGAATTTGAACCAAACTACTAATAAAGAATATAATACTCGTTACCCTTATAGCCTTTTTAGAATGCAAAACATTTTCTGCTTTGCAGAGTCTTATTCTTATCACGGGATTGTATATAAAGATCTAGTTATTCGTAAAATTGGTTAATATTAACAGTTAAAAAATTGACGTTGGGAAAGTAATTATGCATTAAGATAACATTGCATAAATTTAATGCGGGCTACTGATTATTAAAGTCAGTCAAATTTTTATTGCTAATAAACTACTGTTAAAGTTATTGATTACTAACATACATAATCTAATCAATTTAAATATTTTTGTATAAGGCTTCTTAATTTTTATTCTTTTTAGAGGTTATCTAAAGCCAGGTAGTTTTTAAATTGATTATTAACTAATTCGTAAATTAAAAATCATATGATGCATATAAATTACTACCTGGCTTTAGATGATTCCTTTTTATAGTAACTTTATATCATAGAACAAGGTTATTTTTATTTAACAAAGAAACTTATTTTAGTATAAGATATTTGCTATACTTTATTTAATTTAGGTATGGTGTTATTTTTAAGTGCATATATCTTATTTAGGCTAATAATGATAAGCAATAGTGATAAAACATATATAAAACACAGTATTATCTTATCTCGTATGTACACTTCATACGTTTTTGTAGGTCATATCCTTTTCTGATTATATTTCTGCAATATTCTTATACTAAAAATCTTTAAACTGGAATTTTATATTTCAATCTCTTATCTTATTGTGAAATCGCCCCAAAATTTTTGTTGTAGGAGTTTTTATATATACTTATCTTATTATCAAATTTAATCAAATGCTTATAAAAACATTAGCTCTTCTATTTTATTTTGCAAAATAATTACCATTCTTCTTGAGTAAGACCATCAGCTCTAGGATTTTAAACCCTAATAGCTTGTCAAATAGTATTGTTTTGCCCTGCCTATTAATAATATTGTAGTTTTTTAATATGATGCAAAAATTCATTGGGAAGTGGGAATATAAAACCACATTTGCCGGTCCTGCTAGTATAAT